CGTACATAGGATTGGAATAAAGATTACCATTATCACTGATAACATACCCACCAGACAAATAATCCTGTACAAAGTCTTCTAATTTTATCTTTTGTAGTTCGTCGAGATACTCTTTACGAAACTGTCCATAGGTTCTACCTGATATAAGTACATCATTATCATTGTTATTGTCTAGTCTGTAGTTCAGTATCAGAGACATGTTTAGTGCTTTAATGAGTGAGCCCTGAGTGCAGAAGGACTGCTCCTGGAGTAGAACCTCATTGTAGGTTAGCAGTTGGAATATCCAAGCATAGCAAGGCCAGATTAGTCCTCTGCTAAAAGCTTCACACATCAAATGAGACAAATCATCCAGAGAAGATATTGATGCAAATATGATACGATTTGATTCTGCTTCAATGAGATCAAGTGCTTTGTGTATGAAGATTCGACTACTCCTGATCCCAATGATCTCGTGTTGTATGGTAGTGTTTGATAGAATATCAATAAAAGCATCAGTAGTTGATTCAGTGAGTACATTAGCTTCATTATATAATAATGTTATTTTGTTCCATGAAAAGTGTTTGATGAGGGATATGGTCGTATTTACAAATATCGTTGAAGAAGGCAGCAAATGCCAAAGACGCTTGTATTTGCCAGTATCCCTCAATAATGGAGAAATTGATAACGAGAGCTGTATTATGTCAACTTCAAGACGTCCTGCGATTGGTGATACAGCCTCAGTGACAGTGGAACACACTAATCCTGTAACTGCAATTACTTGGCTGCTCATTTTATTATTTACTGCATAGCGGACAAAGTTAGAGAGACCAATAGGAGCAGTGATACATCCACAAGCATCAGATGAAGCCTCAACTAGTGATAAGTTATATCCCGGTAAAATATCTGCTCTGTTGTTTATCTCTCTGGCGGCAATCCTAGCAGCTGGTAATAGTTCAATACCATTGGACCAACCTGAATTAGGATTGAAGTCATGATAAGGGACCAATACTAGCACAGACAGTTGAGTGATGGCATCTGTTTTTGCTGCAGAGAATTGAATCGCTGAAGATAAGAAGAGAAGAATAGCCAGAGCTGCCAGCATACTGAAATATGATTGGTTATGATTGAGTTGTGAATGGATCTAAATAGTGATAAATGGATAAATGATTTTTATAATGTATAAATAATTACTGTATATC